GGCCAGGAAGGCCACCGAGTCCAACCCCCTGGATCATGGGATCATGGAACTGCGGGGTTGGAAGGGGCCAGGAAGGCCACCGGGACCAACCCCCAGGATCATAGGATCATTGACCCACCAGGAGTGCCCAAAGAGGAATTGCACCAAGAGGCAGAAAGAGAAAAGGTGTGATTGAAAGCACAGCACGTACTCGACCTGGACTCTTTCCTCCTTCCTTTTGGTCATCACACTCAAGACAATGCTTTGAAAGGCAAATCTTTTTATTGAAAATGAATACATTACAAAATAGTGCAGATGCTAAATAGCCTTCTGCCAAAGTTGAGGAAGTAGCCTCTGCCCCTGTCAAAATTTGAATGCCAACTGGAAACTGCCCCTCTTTCCCTTCCAACTCCACCCTCGAGGCCCTTGCTACTTGAGGGCAAGATGGTGGGAACAGTGGAGATCCCCTCACTGGGCAGATTTCGAATCACCTCACTGGGTCAAGGTCTGTGTCCTGCCAGGCTCCACCTGCCATGCCAAACACCCTTCCACCCCTTCCAGAGCAGATCTGTTTTGTACACTCTGCCTGGGAAACTTGAAAGCCCAAAGTCCTCCCCCGCCCCTTCCTCAGAATCAAATTAATCTATTGGAACAGTCTAGAAGGAGGGAGAGATGAACCAGCTCTCTATAGTACTCATCTCTGGCTCATTTGCACCAGGTGATAGCTCCTTTATGTGATTGAGTAAAATGTGATTTTTCAATGGCGGAGGTGGGGGGAAATCACATTTTAATAATGCACAATAATGATGCTTCTTTTCTGAGGCTTTTGCTATTTTTTCCAATCATGGAAACCTATCACACCCATAACCTAACATGTACGTGTGAGCTAGAGAGTCGGACTTTTCTGCATTCTCTTGATCTCCTGAAAAGATGGCATTAGTACAAATGTGATGGATGCCAATTTTACCAATGCACTTTTCCCCCAATATTCCCAAAGAAAAAGCAATTTCTTGTGTTTTGAAATTGAGGTGGAGAGAGTTCAGAACATGAAGCCGATAACGAGACCAAGAATGCACGTATTTCCTACAAGCGGGAATCTCCTCAAAGTCCTGAAATGTAGGAATGTTCTTCCTTCATGGTCCCACCGTCTCCCAGGATGCTCTGCTCCTTTTCCTCTATAAAGGCTTCCTCTCCTCTCCCCATACAAACGCTCAGCATCCCACAGTCACGAACTATGCCTGGTCATCATTGGGTATGTGGCAATTTCCCCTGTAGGTTTTTAGGGTTTCCTAAAGGCTTTTTCCATTTTTGTTAGTCTCTCTCATTCCTCTGTGGTCTGATTTCTGCTATTTAGCTGTTAGCACTGGAAACCTCAGTTGGATCTCAAAGGGTGTTCTTTTTATAATGGGTGTGTGTATAATCATCACGGAGCCAAACTTTTGTTTCAGCTTTTCCCAAGCAGCAACAAGGAAGAAGTTTCCACTCCGAGTTGTACAATACCCCAGTAATTTTATTTCCAGAAAACTCACAAGGCAGAGGTGTGTGAACATCTTAACATCTTAAAGTGAGAATGCAAACATATTTCCAAAAGGCAGAGCGGGGTGGGAGGTTACTTATCCAGCTTGGGTTAGTAATATTGTCATCCTGTGCATATCTATCCAGTAACTGTCAGATATGTGCGCAGGATTTCAGCTGCATGGATTAAAAGCATGCAATCCTAGAGGCCAATAGACAAAAAAATTCTACAATTCCCAGCATCCCCTGCTGTTTACATATCTGTGCAGTAACAATGGGGGTTGGTGCTTGGATCTGCTGAGGTTTCCCGGTGGCTTGACAGAGAAAGCAACCTGGTTTATCATCAAAGTCCTTGCAGAGTTAGCATGTGGTAGCTGCTTGAAGGGTTAGGATGCTCAGAGAGCTCCAGGAGGCACTGGGAAGGTTTCCCCGGTCCTGTTCTGCTTTGCTACAACAAAGTGAAACTTTGCAGCCACTTCGTGTTCCTGATTCAGTTTCTGTCACGCCTTCCCTCTTGACTCTTTCTGTTCCTGATTTTGCCTTCTGGGTCTCACCACGAGCCCGATCTTTGCCCGAGGAATCCATCGCTTTCCTTCCACCTGCATCACCCAGGCTCCAGTTAAGGGCTCCCGAGCTAGAATGAGCCTGAAGGCAAGGCCAAAGAGCCAAGCAGAACTGAGGGGGCCATGCAGGATAAGGGAAAAGCCAGAAGTCAGGAATGGCAAATGACCACAGAGTCAGCTTATGCTACAAAACTGTGTTGCTTGAACAAGGCTTGACAGCAGCTGGAAGCTCTTTAAACATCTGTCTCTCCAGGAGGGTCCAAATGGCCACCCACTTAGGCGTTCAGCCCAGGGCCCCTGACCGATTGAGCGGTCTGCCTCATGGAGGAGCTCCTGACAAGCCCCCGAGGGGGAAAAGCCACAGTTCCAGTGCGGGGAAAGGTGCAGTGCGGCAGCACATCCAAGTCTCGAGGCCCATGCTGAAGAAGGGGCTCAGCCCTAGTCCAGGATATGTGATGCTGACGTGTGATCTGACAAGAAGGTGCTCATCATGCTGGAATTGCTGGAGAGAGGCTCCCTGGCTCTCTTGCTCGGCCCTGCCACACTGCGGATGCTCTCGCGCAGCTTCAAGGAGCTCTCCGTGCCGGTGGAATTGCTGGAGATCACCTCGCCCATGGCCAGGCAGCTTTTGGGACCATGCCACCCTGCTCGGATGCAGCAGCAGCAGAGAAGTTCCGCCACGGCTCTCCTCACCTCTGTGCTTCTCAAGGAGTAGATGATGGGGTTGATGAATGAGTTGATGACAGCCAAAGTCAAGAACCAGCCAAACATTTTGTGCAGTTCCCCCATCTTGTTGGCCCAAAAAATGTCCATCACCAGGAGGATGAAGAGCGGGATCCAGCAGATCAGGAAAGCGAACAAGATCAGCAAAACCATGTGGAGCAGACGGATGGACTTCTGGTGGCTGCTGCGGGAGAAGGCCTGCTTGGCACTCTGCTGCACCCGGATGAAGATGGATGCGTACAGACTCACCACGCCCACCAGGATGATGCTGAACATGGCCACGGAGAAGAGGATGTACTTCTTGGAGTACAGCGGCAGCAGGGTGGAGCAGCTGGACACCTCGCAAAGACAGTTCCAGCCGAGCAGCGGGAGAAGGCTGATCAGGATGGCCAAGCCCCAGCAGAAGAGAATGAGCCCCCTCAGCCGAATGGTCTTGCTCCTCTCGTTCTCGGCGATGGGCCTCACCATGGCGCTGTAGCGTTCGATGGCCGTCACCAGGAGGCTGAAGGTGGAGGCCGCCAAGGCCACAAAGAGGACCCCTTCACGGAGGAACCACATGTTGACCGACAACTGGAAGGTTCGACTCCCTGACAAGCAGAGGTTGATCAGGTAGGCAATGCCAGCCAGCAGGTCGCTGAGAGTGATGCTGGCGAGGCACGAGTAGACCCATCGACGGGCTCGCACCTTGCGGATGATGGCCGACAGTACCACAAAGTTCTCTAGAATGATGAGGCAGCTGGCGGCAATCACAACCATCTTGAGAGCGTCCATCTTGTTCTCCTCAGGACGCCTGTCGTTCATCCGGCCTGTGAGGTTGTAATGGTATAAGATGATGTTGAAGCTGTCCCCGGGGTGGTGCTGGGAACAGAGTTCTTGGCCATGGACCTGGGCGTGTCGGGGCCCTTCGTGGGTGATGGAGAACTCCGTAGAAGGAGACCAAGTGGTGGAGAAGTTCTGGAATTCTGTGTTGCTCATTTTACTGGAGAAGAACTGACCTTGGACCTATTATTGGAAGGACGATGTGTTTGAGGAGCAGCACTAATCAAAGCAGAAGTTGTCTCCAACTTGGGGATGGAAGAAAGAGGGTGTTCACAATGTTGGACAACAGTGCGCATGGAAACCAAAGTCAGATGTCTCTCACAGAGCAAGCAACAGCACTTGAATGTTGCCTGAGGTTCGAACATGAAATGGAGGTGCATCCAAGGTCACTGAGTGGAGAAGTAGACGCTGAAGAAAGGGTTGTGTGCTGGGTTGTGTGTTGTCCCCGCAGTGGTGGCAAAGGCGCCCACAGACTGGTCTATGGACCACAGTCAACCAAAGGAATCCTATAGCCCGAGATCAGCAGCACTGAAGTATCTGCAGAGCAGAGAGATGAAAGAGAAGTCAGGAGAAGACTGGGCACATGCTAGAAAAACCTCAGAGGCCATCATTTCCTGTTTTTGAGGGATATTTCCTGTGGTTTTTTCTCTCCTTAGCGGTATCAGCTCTAGCCTTCCCAGATGCGGTTTTGAGGGGCTTAGTTTGAGTGAGAGGAACATCATTTCAAGGCAAAACGCAATCCATTTACGGCTCTTACATTTCAATCAGGGCATGACACTGACTTTGCGAAATTTCTCGTTTCTCGGTGGTGTGCTTGCAGCTTGCTCAAGCGAGAGTTTCACTTTAAAATCATGAACATCCGAAAGACCACAGGAGAAGAGAGGCCAACAATCTTTCATCCCCAATACCTTTGGAGAATTGATGCTTTTTAAATCATTTTAAAAAAAGAAATGCATCAGATCATAAGGATGCTTTGGCATGCTCCAAGCATATACCCTCAAAGGAGAATGCTAATTAGTTGCTCCAACAGTGTCCCTGTAAGGCAGAACCCTATGCTGATTTAGTCAGAGAAAAAGGAGTACAACTCCCAGCTGGATGGGGATGCTGGGACTTGCAGCCCTTTTTTTATATCTAAGCATGGATCTGCTTGCACCCCTAATGCACCCCTAAACTCTGAATCTCTTGGAAAACGGCTCAACTATAAATTCAAACCTTATTTTCTGATCTGGGGTGTTCTAAGTTGAGGTGCACAGAAGGCAGACCAAGCTATTTTGAGTGAAATCTGTGAAAAGCGTTGATTCTTAATTTTCTGGCAACAGCAATAACAGAAAAGATAATTCCTCTCCTTGCGGAAAGGAAAATCTAAGCTGCGAAATGGGCACAACCAGAGCAGTTGTGGCCAAGTGCTCTAAACAGCCTGCCCAGAATGTGTATTTCCATCGAAAGACCTAAACTGGTATTTTATCTTCTGCTGCAGCCACCCCATCATTTATTTATTTTTTATTTATTTATGGGTTAGACTTATATCCTGTCTTTTCCTTTTTGGAAGGACTCTTAAGCGACTTAGATCATTCTTCCTCTCCTGCTCTCAATCATTGCCCCACAACAACCCTTTGAGGGAGGCTCAGCTGAGAGTCTGGGACTGGCCCAAAGACACCCGGTCCCAGGCTGAGCCAGGACTTGAACCCGGATCACCCGAGTCCCAGACCTACGCTCTTAACCACTACACCACAGTGGCTTTTTGAGAACTGTGTGTGGGTTGTTGCTGAAACTTTGCTATTGTGCGGTCTGAGTCCAACTGCATTAATGAGCCATGGTTTGTTAACCACACCAGCCCATGAAGACGCGTTATGTGTTGCTGTTGGATTGCAAGTTGTGAGTTGTTCCCCACAGTTTGTTAGGTGGATTCAGACAATAAGATGACCCACATTTCTGCTCCAAGCGCATTCCTCCCTTTCATCAGTGAACTGAATGACAAGGGGAACAAGCGCGCAGCAGCTCTGAATGATTAACCAGCAAATCTGGCTCAAAAACAGAGCCCATGATATGAGAAGCAATATGAAAAGCCCTGTTCAAGGTTCTTGTAGTCCTTTCTGCCTCTGGGTAGCCCCCCCACAGCTTGCAGCAGCCTTTCCCAACTTGCTGACCATCAGCTGGGTTGGACTACAACTCCCCATACTGACTAGGGCATGATGGGAGACTGTAGTCTGACCCATCTGGAGGGCACCAGGTTGGAGAAGGCTGGCCTGTATCTTTTCAAGCAACTCTCATACAGTGGTAGACTGCATCTGGATGTGGAGGTTCTGGTGAAACTAGCAGCCGTTCAGATCGCTATGAGAGATTTGTTAACAGCTACTTATAATTGTGCATCCTACCCTGGGCTTGTAAAGTCTGCTTTTTCGTTTACTGAAACCCCGAGATCAGCCAGGTGTAACCCCCCCCCCCACCCAAGTGGGCAGAAAGGAAGGAACAAGGTGTGCCAAACGTGCACACAGCAGAAAGACTTCTGGGGCAAAAATCTGCAGCCCCATGCTCAGCTGCCTGGTGCAGCCCGTTCTTGTAGGCTAGGCTGCGACTTACTCTCTGCCCACGCCAGACTCCATTATGGAGTGCGTGCCTAGGAAACACACACATGTGTATGCACACAAGTCCCACCAGCCTGGCTGCCCACCTCGGAGACAGAGAATTAGGCAAGGTCTCCGTGGGGCAATGCTGCAGTCAGCCATGAGGCTCTTTGGTTGGCTGTGGGGTGGTAACTCCATCTCTGCCTGGCCTGCATCGCAAGGTTGTTGTGGGAGTGGAGTGGCAGGAAGCCCCTGTCTATGCCTCCCCAAGCAGCTTGCAGGGGGTGCAGTGCACACAGCTTCAGCTCCACAGCCACTAGTGTTGTCCCGATATACACGCGCATAGTTGGTCAAAGGTTTTGCAACGGGGATGCCCTCGTAGGTGGGGGAATACCCGGGGAAAGCATTGCTGTGGGCTCTTGAAAGGGAATGTGGGAATTTAAAAAAAGGCATCATGAAAAAGAGAAGATCTCTTTCTGAGGTCAGTGGGAGAAGTCAGGAAACAGCTTGCCCTAAATCAGCTTTTTGGAAATATTGGACTACAGTTCCCATCAGCTCCCAGCTGTGCAGCTTGCAGTGACAGGCACTGCAGTCTGGCACAGAGGTGTTTGAGGAAGTCTGCTCTAAAGAGGAGAAAGAAGAGCATCTAGCCCAGCTATACTGTTGGTGGATGTGGGAGTTGTAGCTGATGGGAGTTGTAGTCCAGCACAAGACAATTGCGGAAGGTTATCCTAAGACAGGTGTCAGGGTGAGGAGGAGGAAATTTGCAGAATAGAAGTTGGATTAAATTTGGATCAAAAGAGCTTGGAGATTAGAGCAATCAATGAGCAGCGGTTCATTCCAGCAGCATCTGCATCATTCTGGGATCTGTAGAAAAAGAGGAGACTTTTCCTAAGAGCCGCTGCCTTTCTGGAGGGACCAGCCTTCCCCATCCTACCTTCCTCCAGACAGGATGGACTTCAAGCCACTAGAAGAATGGGAGTTGCAAAGCACCTGGATGGGGAAGGCTGGGATATTCACATGTGCCTATTTGAGACCATCTTCTGTTCAGATTCATGAGGACTGCAGGCATGTTTTGTCTTCCATGGAAGAAAGTTTTGCAACACAGTACAAGCTCAAGTCCTTGACTGCAAGGTCGAGCAAAAGACCCCCTCCTTGCCTTGAAGAATGTTCTTGCCCGATGTTCTGAGTCATTGCAGAACTTTGGTAAGTGGCAGGAGGGGAGCTTTAAAATTGGATTTATTGTATTTGAAAACCTGGGTTCTTTGTATTGTTAATTGCCTGGCCCTGTTTGCAGATTTTTTCAGGGACTGGAGTGGATAGGCTTCCAGATGAGCAATAGGAAAGGAACTCTTTGGTCCTGGAACTGTTTCTTTAGAAATAGCACTAGTGCAAAAGAGAGGAGGGAGAAGAACAGGAGTGGTGGAGGAAGCAAGAGAGTTTGCAAGATCACACAGTGAAGGAGAGATGCAAAAGCAAACTTGGATAGAAAAGGTTTGTTGCATGGGGGCCACTCACTCAGACTCACCTCCTTCAAAGGACTCTGCACCTGGTTCTTGACGTTCCAAAACTGCCCCTTGCACTGTGGGGTTGGTGCTTGGTGTGGGTGTTTTTCAAACACTTAAATGTTTTCCTACCTAGCAAATAACAAGAGGATGTTGCTACACCCAGAACTGAGAAACTAAGAAACCACAATTGGCTGTTAGGATGGACCCCACCCAAGCTGTCTGTACAAGAAACGCTAGCAAAAGACAAACACAATTACCTACATGCTCTACTGGCTTCCTTTGCCTCAGAGCATGTCCTGCTGGAATATTGCTTCACAAATGGTGGTTTGTTCTTTACGTTAAATGATGATGTTCAAAAAGAAGACCAAACAGTGTATCTTGATTGCAACATCCTAAAGGATCTTGTCAACTTCTGTTTTGCAAAACGCAACGCACAGATTTCAGGAAAGGGCATCTGAATGCGTTTGGAGTAGGCCTCCTATTCCATGCACCTTAGCTATGCTGGCTGCAGCTGATGAGACTTGCAGTCCAGCAACACTTGCAGGGCTGTTGGTTGCATTCCCTCTTTCCATTGTTTTCTCCCTTTCCTCCTTGGCCTCTCCAGGCAGATTGCAAGCAGATTCGGATAGTTTTAGCCTCTAGTTCTTTACAACGCATTCAGGGAAGTGCCCCCAGCATCTCTGGTGATAAAAGTTCAGATTGCAATGGATGCAGGATCCCTCCTCTGCCAGAGACCTGCAAGTGTGTCCCATTGGGCTGCTTTCTCCAACCAAGGGTGTCCCAGATGCACCGAACTCCAGAACCCATCAGTGCTCCCAACCAGCATGGGAAGCTTGTAGGTGACGGACACTGTAGAACAAGATGTCTGTAGCATTCCGCCTTGGTGTGCTGCTCCCATAACCTCCCCCGACCTGTGGGGTATGGGAACAGTTCCGCAACGAGGAGTGCCCGCTTCCTAGTGAAGCAACATGGCTCAGCTGGAAGCCTTCCCTTTGTCTAAAGATGGGTGTCAACCCCAATTCCCAGCATCTTCAGGTAGGAGGGATAGGGACCCAGGTTTAGTCCGGGGGAGAACATTTGTCCCCTTTCCCTAGTACTGCAAACTCTGCCTGGCGTAGAAGCAGAGCAACAGAGCAAGTCAGAAGGGGCCTCCCAGGCAATCTGGCTCCAGCCGGCTCCGCTCGTGACATGCCTCCCATGTGCATGTCTAGCTTGTCCTCGAACACCCTCACCGATGGGGCCTCAGCCACCTCCTGGGGAAGCCCATTCCACACCCTCAGGGTCCTGACTGTCAGGAAGCACTTCCTGGCATCCAAATTGAACCTGGGTTCCCTGAGCTTGGCTCCGTTGGAGTGCGTCCTGCCTTCCTCTGCAGGGGAGAACAGGTCTCTGCCCACCTCCGTGTGACACCCCCTCACACACCTGCATGTTGCTAACAGATCCCCTCTGAGTTTCCTCTTCTCCAGGCTGAAGAGACCCAGTTCCCTCTGTCTCGCCTCATACGGCTTCCCCTGCAAACTGGCTGCCAGCCTTGTGGCCCTATGCTGCTCTGACTCTAACCTGGCTATATCCTTCCTGTAATGAGGGGCCCAAAACTGAGCACAATACTCCAGTTGCGAGCGCACCAGAGTCATGTAGAGTGGCAGTAATACCCCTCTCGATCAAGAAGCCACACTTCTGGCTGTGCAACCAAGGGTGGCGTTTGCCCTCTTGACCACCGCATCACACGGCTGGCTCATGTTCAGCCTGCAGTCAACCAGCACCCCGAGGTCCCTTTCACAAGCGCTGCTCTCCAGCCACTTGTCCCTTAACTTGCATTTATGGCACCCATTCCTATGCCCCAAGTGCAAGTCCTTGCACTTCTCCACATTGAACGCCATCCTGTTGTCTCCTGCCCACTTCCATAACCTGTGCAGATCATGGAGTACCTTCTCCTTAGTTGTAGCAGAGATCAGCAGAGTCTGAGCAGAGATGGGTCTTTCCACTTGGAGATTCCCTGTGGCAGATTGATTGCATCAAACTCAAATGCTGTGCCACAGATCTATGGCCCCACTGCTAAATATCAAGCAAGATTCTAGTCCACACTCTTTAAACCAAGGTCAGTTTAAATAAGAAGTTGCTGCTCTGTAGCTAGATCAGACACTGGTTGGGTTCAGACAACACAATGATCTGCATTCAGGGGTTGAGTGTGGGGTAGTTGTACTCCAAGTTTCTGTGTTTTAACTAAGCTGTGATAAGAAGCAATGGTTTGTTACCTACAAGGGACCTGTGAAGAAACCAAGATCCCTTGGTTTGTTATTGGGTTGGGAATGGTGGGTTGTTCACCATGGCTTGTTAGAACAGCTGGGTCCAGACAACCCATGGTTCAGAAAACTCAAATCAATCCAAAGTCAGGTTATGGGATTGTCTGCACCCATTTTATGGGTTCATCCAGACCAGTATTGCCTGTACTAAAAGGGAGTGGTTGTCCAGACATGCTGGCAGAGAAGGGATTTCTAGTGCCTTTCTCCTCAATTTCTTCCTCTGTAAATGAAGCCAGTATTACAGAAAAATATGCATAATCTCAGGTGATTTTCATGTCTAAAAAGGAGCCCAAACCCGGGTATTATTGCCCCAGAAATCTCTTTGGTGCTTGGGAAAATGGGGCAAAAAAAAAGGCATCGTGGCCATTTCTAAGAATGTGCTCCCCAGAGAGGCCCACCTGGTGCCGTCATTATATGTTTTTCGGCACCAGGTCAAGACCTTTTTATTTAATCAATATTTTAATAAGTTTTAATATTGAATTTTATCATAATATTTTAATTGCAGCCAGAGTGGGTCATTAATTAATTTATGTTATGTTAGATATTTGTATTTTATTTGTGTAAGCCATCCTGAGGCTCTTGCAAAGGACGGCACACAAATATCCTAAATAAATAAATAAGAGGGATGAAAACTATACATTCGTATTTTGCTGGAAAGGCCTTTCGCTGTGCTGAAATGCTGGTTGGGAAGCTCAGGACATTCTTCAAAGCCATTTGGGAACACATTTCCTCCAGCAAAGGAGTTCCAGGAATGCTGTGGGCATCATCATCATCATCATCATCATCATCATCATCATCATCATCATCATCATATTTCTATACTGCCCATGGCTGAAGCTCTCTGAGCAGTTCACAACGATGAAGTCCCCCATCCAGTTTTCAACCAGGCCTGACCCTGCTTAGCTTCCAAGATGAGACAGCATCAGACACTTCAGCCTGTATGGAATTCTACATGGGTAAGAAGGAAAGGGTTTCTCCTCCTCTGCCCTCTCCCTTTGACACTGCCCTTTCTCTTTCTCAGACGCCTTGGCATCTTTCTCTCGCCATGTGCTTTCCTCCCTCTGTGTGTCTGATGGCACCTTTTCTCCTCCTCCCACACCTGTTGCTTTCCTTGCCACGCCGCCCGATACTCTTTCCCTCTCATTTTATGCCATTCCTAGAGAAGCCCCACTGCAGAGGAAAGGGGATTTTGCAGTGCTGCCCAAGAAATCCAGAGTGCCCTCCCTTCCCCAAAAGAGCCACCACAAACTCTCGGAAAAGGCACACACAGATGGGACAGGAAAGGTTTCTTTCCACTCAGACTGGGAAAGTGTTCATGCAACGATTCGGTGGCTCTCGGTACGGCGGACGAGCGTCGCTTCTGCCTGTGCTAAGTGAACCATGAGGACAGCGCTGAGAAGCTCTTGGCCAGGAGCAGGGCAGAACGGGTGCCCCATGGCGGAGGAGCGTTTTGGGGGGCTCAGTCCGCACTGGTCATCAGGTCCCAAAGGCAGCAACAGCAAAGGGCAGCACAGCAGGCCTGAAGGCAAGTGGATGCGTCGGAAGCGTCCCGGCGGTGCTCCTGCAAGATGTACACCGGCTGTCCAGGAGGGACAGAGTGAGGTGGGTAGGCTGGGTAGCCATACGGGGGGTATCCGTGGAAGGCCTGAGGCCCCGCAGGATGGCTTTGGGGTGGGTAGGCGGAATACGGTGGAGGCGGAGGCTGATGACTGTACGGTGGGAAAGGCACCACGGGATTCGCGATTGTGGCAGCCATGCGCGAGTCTGGCCTGCTTCACCAAAGTCCGGCCGCGTCTCCGGGTGTCCAGTTGCCTCCTGATGCTGCCTTAGGATAGAAAGAAAGCCTTTTATGGAGGGTTTTGTGGAAGAGGACAGAGATGCAGGGTATTGTGGAACATGACAGAGATGCAGGGTTTCGTGGAGCAGGAAAGAGATGAAGGGTTTTGTGGAACAGGACAGAGATGGGGGGTTGTGTGGAACAGGACGGAGATGAAGGGTTCTGTGGAAGAGAATGTGCTGCAGGACTTGGGAAGGAGAAGGGAATCACAGCTAGAGAAACCTACATCAGCCTGGAGAAGAAAGCCACAGGATGGCCATCGAATAAACGAATGGGCAAGCAACCCAGGGAAGGGATGCTGTTACCAGAACGGGGGTTTTGGAAATGGCTTCATAAGACCAGCACTGCTCCCAGTGAGCATTCAGCTCTCCTCCGTCTCAGCCAAGCTCTTCTTCCTCCCCCAGCCCCGCCTTGAAGGGCCGAAGACGTTGCACGCGCAAAGCAGGGGCTCAACCACCAAGCCATTGCCCATTCCCTAAACAGAAGGTTCTAGTCCTCAGGGTTCTGAATAAAGGCCTGATAGGTAAGAGGAACCTGGCGAACTCCTTCACACCCAGTCGCGTGGTTGGTGTGCTGAGGAGCATGGGAGAGAGAGTGCTCTGGCACTCGGCTCCCATGGGCAGCCGGCTGGCCACCAGACCAGCCCAGCTCTGTACTGCATGGAGCGCGGCCTCATCCAGCGTGGCGCTCTTCAGGCCCATGGAGCTCGGTGCTGCCTGCGTGGGGAACGCCACACCTGCACCAGCCCGGAGGCTGGGCTCCGTGTGGGGCAACATCCAGGGATGGACGGGGTGAAGGCGGAGGGGAGACCGGTGGGGTCGGGCCCCCAGACACCAGCAGTTTTGCTGGAAGCTGGCAGCTTTCCCGGCAGCCACCAGGGGTTGTGCGAGGCTCTCCATCCGGAAGAGCACACGGAAGGGTGTGGGGCCGGGGGAGAGG